TTTGCGTAAGTCCATGTTCCCTGTACAAGACAAGGACTGGAAATATGGGATAGACAGGGATAGCAAATTTTTAAGATTATCTTAAGAATAAGCAACAACTCTGAATACCGGCCATTAAGTCTAAACGGACAAAAATTGCTAATAAACTACTACTACTACTACTACTACTACTACTATAAAATAATATATAAAAACAGGAATGAAACATCAAATATATGAAATATATAAAAATAATATACGATACATAGGAAAATGTATTGTTAGAGCATTTCAACGAGGCCACCATTTTATAATAATGAGGAATTGTAGTCGAGTTGAGATCCTTGACTCACGTCTATATTTGAAATAATGAAACGCACGTGAATCGTAAGATAATTAATCGTACTTGGAGTTTGAAAAATATCGCTGTTTTACATTCTAGTAGAAGGCCCAGCTCTTGGAATGTTCTTACTTCTAGATTATCGACAATTGAACGAATAATCGATCAAGGTGAGAAGTCTTGGGGTATTGCCTGCAAACTATGCATTCCATGGTTATCAGGGCGCATCGATGTTAAATATGCATCGAGATTCCTAGGACAACGTCTGTTCAAAAGAATGCAAAGATTAAACGTCGCATCCAGAGGGAGTTTAATAAACGATCTAGAAAATACTATAAAATAATAAATACAAGATGAAGTGAATTTCTATTTATTAATTAATAAAATTATAGAAAAGCTGGCCACAATGAATAAAAACTCCAACGCGGAAAATAACCTGTAAAATAACTTTCTGTACCAAAAATTGCCTAAATAAATAAAATAACGCATTTCAAGAATGAAGAGAGGAAACACAAGAATTGATTGACTTTGCTGAGGAAAAAGTTGCAAATTCATTCATATAAAAAAGGAACCAATTGTATAACTTTCCCCTGGAGATAAATATATTCTTCACGTATCGTTTCCTGTTTTAGAAAAGAAAAAATCTTTTTTCCGCGGGATCGGAGTATGTTTGATGAAATCGATCAGTTCGACTGACTGATTTATTTCACTCGCATAAGCGTGCACATATGACTTGTGGCTGAAACGTATGTTCCGCCGTTTGTCGGCATGAATTGTCCGGTGGGCTCCGCGTAAACGTGGAAAAGTGACGTAAAAACGAGCGGAGCGAACGAACCGGTTGGCTGTCCGTTCGCTTGTCAGTTATCTCGTTCTATCGACCTCTCGCCAGTTGCGGAAAGGCGTAAAGTCAACCGGAGTCTCTACCCTGAACTACGAACCGCGAACTCGCCCGTTTCACAACCGGGTTTCAGAACGCCTACTACGACGAACACCGTCGAGGAAACTTCCACGATGCTGTATAATTCAAGAAATTCTTGAACACAATCCTTACACAGAATTAAATTATTTTAGGAAAAATTCGATTGTAACTAATTAAATATTTTTTTGTAATACTTATACTGATAATAAAATTATTACTCTTGCATAATGTAATTATGCAAGGTCTCCGATTGTGACGTCTTGATTTCCTCGCTATTGTCGATTCGAAACATTTTTTATAGGAGGCTTGCGAAATATCGACAGGACGAAAATGGGATAAAGGGATTTTGTATAAAGGAAATAAGGCGAAATGTTACAAGTTTGAAATCTCATTTGTTATATTATATCGAGCGTTTTCGAGCATACAACAGTATATGTAAGATGAAAACTTGTACTTTTACAGAATTTTTCAAATATACAAAATAACGACAGTCCGTCTTCCAACTAAATAAAAAATCTTCATAATGCCGCAACATGCCGATCTATCGATCACTACTTCCTCAATAGTACGGTCTTCGTGGATTGTTCTAAAAACGCAAGTTTCCTCATACAAAATCTATCTTTTTCTGTTTTACATACATTGTATAATAAACGGAGTAAATCGTTCGATTATCCGAACATTCTGGAAAACTTCATTTTGGAAAATTCGCAGTCGAAGAATTCTTACCAGAGGATTAGGCCTAAATCTATAGGCGAGCATCATTCTTTTCCTGTAAGCATCGAATTCGTCGTCATCCCGAGATACACCGTCCGGTCTCTCGGAACCTAGCCCGGCACTGTCAAATCTATTGGTCGCTCTGTAAAGAAATAGTGTATATAAATCTTGATAACTTCTATTTGTATAAACTACAAGGTTTTTAAATGAAAGAAGGATCGCTCACTTATTAATAGGTTCGATACGACCGTTCCCTTCGCTACCCAACCCTTGTCCCTCGCTCCAACCGAGCTTTTGCAGCATTTGAAATCCTAGCAAACGCATGTAGAATGTTATAAAACTATCAAGATCGCAGTAACACGTATAAGAAAAACACACCTATATTGTCTTCCTTCAACTTGTACTCCTTGTAATCGCTCAGATCAGGTTCTTTTCCTTGTTTCAACGCGTTATATTGTTCCATGAACTTTTTCAGCTCGTCTGGCGGCAAAAAGTCACCGATATGGTGTTTCCCTTCCGCTTGAGCGGTCAGTTCTTCTGCCCACATTTGGGTAGCCTCCATTTCGGCGGACCTGAGCTTGTGCTCCCAAGTACCGCCTTCCGTCTCCTCATCGCTGTCGTATTCGTATTTATGTTTCCCCTGTGCTTCCAAGCGTCTCACTTCTTCCCGTTTCTTCAATAAATTCTGATATAGGAGATTTATCTGAAAATAGAAGTCGAATGTCGAATCAACAATACAATTTTCTTCGGTTTACGCAATAACTCCCATTAATATTCAGATACATTTCAAACTAAATTTTTTAACAGTGGAACTTAATTTTCTCCGAATATTAATAGAACTCGTAATTCTTTTCAACTTGATTACTTTGTAATGATCTTCGGCTTTCTTCCATTGTTCCTCGGACAGGTCCAACGTGCCGAACGTTTGACGAGCATATTGTATCAAAGCCGGATCGTTCCTCGAAACTTTCGTCAACATCGGATTTTTCGATTCCGCGCGTGACATTTTCGCCGGCGGGAGTATAGCCGACGATTGACCAGAAATCGCAACGCCTGACTGCGAGACATGGCTGTTGCTCTGTTGCTTGTTCGGACCGGTTAATGCGCTGTTCATCTCCGCTACGGGCACTTTATTGTCCGGGTCGCCCCAGCGGCTACGTCTTCTTCTTTTGCGCTCTTCTTTATTCTCATCTTTAAATCGATCCGAATTGTTATCGCTTTCTCTTTCTCGTTTCCTTTCTGTAATGCAAACGCATCCAAACGTCTTCATCTCTTTTATTGTTCATTTTGATTAAATATTTAATCGCTTAATTTCGACGGAATCGTGAATCGTACGAAGCGCTTACCTTGCGATAGAAGATTCTTGTTAGGTACAGGAGTTTGATCGCTGTCATCGTTATCGCTGAGAGCTTCCTCCGGGCAGTACGGTTCAGCGCCACTGTTCTTGTTCTCCTTCAGGGACTTCTCAGCGCGAAATTTCGCCACCAGGCCCCTGTACTGCAGATAGGCTGCACTTTGCTTTTGGTGCAGAAACCTTGATTAAAACAATACTTAAGACTCTGGCGAGTAACATTGTCTCCTAAATTAGGTTCCTTCAAGTTAAGAGAGAGAGAGAGAGAGAGAGAGAGAGAACTAGGAAGAATGAAGGATGTAACGAATGGTTTTAGAACGGAACGATTAAAATTCATTTCAACATTAATTAAGAATAGTCTGATTAGCATTGATCTATGTGAAACAACGAAATATGTATTAATCGCAAAGGAAAGTCCTGTTTTCTGGTCGACGGCTAACAAGCGATCGAAATTTCAATTTCAACTTCGCGTATCGTTAAATCGGCAATATTCACTTCGTTACCTTCGATTGAAGGTAACAATGAACAGAGGCGAGTGGTACCAATCAATTCTGTTGCCCATCCAACTGAGACAAGTTTCATTCCCGGGACCAGAGATAAAGCGATTTTAGAATAAAACAATTCATGTCGAATTTCAACGAAACTTTGTATAGTTCAACTCGCGGTGTTACGCTTGTTCCAGTTGCACGGTGACTGTATATCTTATTATTACTCAGTCTGATCGAATCGTATTGATTTAAAACCAACGAACGATACGCAAGTTGAGGTAGAATAACAACGCGAGAAACGCGGAACGCGGGGGGGCCAGTGAGGACAGTAGTTACCATAATTTAGGATCTTGGGCGTTCTTCTCTCGCGCTTCCTGTTCGATTTCGTCTCCACAGTCGGCGACCATGCGTGCCAGCTGCTCAGCCTCTACGGGACACACTTAGAAGCCTTTATCAGACATGCGTAACAACGCTAAAACTCTGATATGTTTTGTTTTTTTTCTTTCTTTCCGTAGAACGTATCCTATTCTACCACGAACTTTTCCGCTTTCTCTCACATATCGTTTCATACTTTCTCACAACGCGGATCGTCTCGGCGTTCGGCGTATCGCGCTCACGTCTCGTTTCTCTCCGGAACGAGCGATACAATTTTGGTTCACGGAAAAAGTTGTTAAATAAAAAACCACGGGGCGATACGTCGAGACGTGGAAATAAATGAAAATAATCGACATATCGTACCTAGCTGGTCGGAGGCTCGTAGACCTGCGATCGGCCTCGCCGGCGGTGGCACTTGCAGATTAGGCGGTCCCATAGGTACCTGAGCGACTTGATTAGGAAGAGGATAGCTGGTCGACATCAAAGGCGGCGGACCGGTGTTCTGTATCAAGGGAGGAGGCGGGATGTTCAGGTTCGGCGGTGGAACGGAATTTATGTTAGACGCCACTTGGCGGACCGGCGGCGGTGGCCCGGACATCATCACTGGTGGCATCACGTTCGGTGGCGGGACATTGGGAACATTCGAAGCGTTCGGCACACTGACTACCATCGTTTGCGAGGCCGGGATGGGCAATCTGTTCGGGAGCTGCCCGAGTCCCGGTAACAAATTAGGCGGGGGAATGTTCGGGGGTGGTAAATTCGTCGGCTGCAACGGACCGGAAGGTCCTACGCCGCATTGGCGTCCGGATGAATCCGCGGATACGAGCAACGCGGGCGACGACGACGAGGACGAGGTCGTCAACGAGGGAGGGTGTTGCAACGCCGTCGACGTCAACGGAGGAGGTAGAGCGGCAGGAGACGAAGAGGTAGAGCAAGAGGAAGATGGTAATGATAACAGCGGCGGCGGTGGAGGGGGCGATGACAAGAGCAACGATGACGCTGGCTGTGCTAACGGAATTGGCGGAGGTGGCAAACTTTGTAAATTAGGCGGTACTGTCCGAGAAATATGCATGTTTGGCGGTGGTATAGTGGTGTTTGTCGGAACAGATTGAACAGGTAACGGGGGCGGAGGTGGCGGTGGACGAATCATGTGCTGCTGAGACATTTGCATTCTAGGATCTCCGGACCGGTCGTCCAGGCCGGGATAAGCGTTGCACATATTTTTAGGAGGAGGCATTTTCGACAGATCCGGGGGAGGTACGTTGGTCCTTATGTTGGGAGGCGGTACTCCTGTGAGGTGCATCAGTGGCTGAGACGCTGGAGGAATGGGAGACGGATTTCCGTTTCGAGAAAGAAACTGATGGTTGTGTGGAGTATGCTGTCCATTAGAATTCACTTGATTAAACGAACGTCTGGCTTCTGGACTCTGGGACGTCTGTCGTCTCGTCGGCGACGGGCTGGACGAAGAGTTGTGTCTTTTATCGGAATTCTTCTCCCAACGGTAATCGTCTCTCTTGCGATCTCTTCTATTCTCCCAATCTTTACTTCTGTCGTTACTTCTGTCATTCCTTCTGTCATTACTCCTCTCTTTGTCTTGCATAGATTCCTTGATCTTTTCTTCCTTTCTGTCGTCAGACTTCAATGTGAACACTGGCTCTGGTTTCCTCGTGCTCTTGTTACTAGCAATCTTTTTGAACTGATCCAAGAAGCTACCATCGTTCGCGAACAGATTAATTGTTTGGGACGTCGGTTTTTCTTCTTCTTTCCTGCAACGAATTCAATTAAGTCGAAATCAATACATAAATATTTTTTATCACAGATATTACAGAAAGGAAAGGCAGTATCAGCCAGTACTTAAGAAACGGAGATGAATTAAGGTTATAAACGTTCGAACGATTAGATCACTCGACACGGATTTACGACGGTAAGCACGTGATCGCAGGAACGATGAAAGGGAAACAGGTTACGGATTACTCACTTGACAGAGTTCGTTTTGTTCCCAATCAAATTCGGGGCTAAAGTGGTAGTCTTTTTCAAGCTTTCCACAGCCTCTTTCGCCCTCTGCTCCTGTTTCTTCGCCTGTATTTCAAGCTTTTTCTGTTGAATGATCTGCTCCTGCTTTGACATTTGCGCGAAACGTTCGTTCCGCGAGGTTTTTGAAACGAACGGATCAGATCCTTTCACACCTCGATAAGCCATATTTGTTATGTCGCATACGTCGCATACGGCTCACCCAGTACACTTCGTTTTAACATCTACTTTGACTAAAAGTCGACTGAATAACTCCGGTTTCGATGATCCTATTGGCACAGCGCACAGCGGCCGCCCGCGATGCCAGCGCGCCCAAACGGTCGACGGGTCAACTTGGTCGACAAAAGACGAGAGACGCACTTGCGATTCAAAAACGGAATATTCATTAATTTATTAATAGCTAATAGCGTCATTCTATTCGAAATCCGAAGTCTTCAATTGTTCGATAGAACTTAATTCGAACTAGTCAACGATAATTCTCACAC